TTCCTTTCTCTCCCCTCTGTTCCCTGTCCTTGTAAAACTGTCAGCTATACAGTCTTAGACATTTCACCTCATATTTTTGCATTTTTCACTCCCCCCACATCATTTCTTGCAGCTTTATTTTTTATTTGTACTGTTATTTGTCTCTCTCTAGTTTACGATTTTATTTATGGATCTATACGTTTCGATTTCTTTAATATATCTTTGAATTTCTCTTTCTTTCTTTACAATAATGTTTCCTTCAAACTTTAATTGTTTCTTTCTATTTCTTTCATTCCCATTTTTGTTCTTCTTTCGATATTTATTCTTTTTTTATTCCCTGTTTCTTTCATTTTCAATTGAATTTATTATTCCTTTTAGAATTTTTTCTTTTGTATTTCTTTCCTTTTCTCGTTCTTTCATTCTTAATTTCATTTATTATTCCTTTCAGAATTTTTTTTTTGTAATTCTCTCATGACTCTTTTCAATAGATTCATTTTTCTTTCATATTTTTCATCCTCTCTTTCTAAATGAAAGACAGAATATAGAAAATATACTTTTCTACATTCTTTCTTTCATCCATTTATATTTTTTTTATTCTTTCATTCTTTTTAATTTACTAGTTTTCTATTCTTTAATTACGTCTTTTCCTTCTTCCTTCGTCCTTCATCCTTTTTATTTTATCTTTCTTTTTTGTATTCGTTCTTTCTGTTTTCCATATTTTATTTTAATATTTTTTTACTTCCTAGTCAATTTTCTTTTTCCTTCTCTTTCAATAGTCTTTTGTTTTTTTTTCATTATTTCCTTAAACGTCTTAAAATATGTTTTAATTTTTCAATATTTTTCTCTTACTTTCATTCGTAATTTTTCAATGGATTTCTTTTATTGGTTTCTGAATTTTTTTACGAAAATTCTTCTTCCTTTGTTAAATTAAAAAAATAGTAATTCTTTCATTTTTATATTATTTTTATTCTATTGATTGCATTCATTCTCTTTGATTTTGAAATCTATTTTTATGGATGCTATATTCTTTCTTTTATTTTTCTTATTTCTGCAATATTTTTGCTTTTACTAATAAAACATTGGTCAATAGCATTTTTTTTCTTTCATTTTTTCTTTATTAAAATCAACCATTTTGAAAGATATACTTACAGTACTACATTGTTTTTTTCGTTTTATTTTATTTTATTTTTGCTTATATTTCTATTGCTTTTGTCACTTTTTTTTCATTCTTCCTTTCTTAGTAAATTTCTACACATTGTGCTTTGCTTGTTGATATTTTTCTGACATCTTTCATTTCTCATTCTGATTTTATTGTAGCTGTCGGATTCTATTCTCTTGATCTTTTTCTACTTCTCTTCATTTCTTTTGAAACGGCTCTTTTCTTCCATTCTTAACATTGTTTCTTTTTGTTTCTTTTCATCTTTAATTGATTTTATTTCAAACGTTTTTCCTCTGTTCGCTTTATTGTTTTCGATTTGACTTCTTTCTTTCCTTTTTCGTTCTTCATTTCTTTCTTCATTTATTTATTTACTTATTAGTATATTTCTTTTTGCTTCTTTCATTTTTTTTTAAATTTAGGAATAACTTTTTTTCTTTCTCTCTCTCTTTCTTTTTTTCTTCCTTTCTTTCATTTATTCGTTCTTACTTCACTCCGCCTTTCTTTCATTTCGTCTATATTTCTTTATTCATTTATTTCTTTTTACTTTTCTTCATTTATTTATTTATCAACTTTCACTATCATTTATTATCGTCTTTAATTTGTCTTTCTTTCTTTATTCATTTATTTATTACTTTTTGCTTTCCTTCACTTATTCTACGAATTTCTTCTTTCTTTCTTTTTCTTTCTTTCTTTTTTCTTTTTTCATTCTTTCTTTCTTTCTTTCACTTACTTTATTTCTTTCTTAACTCTATCTTTATTTCATTTCATTTTCTTTCTTCCTTTTTCTTAAGTCCCACTTTATTTCATTTAACTTCTATTTCCATTCTTTCTTTCTTTCTAAACTCTTTCTATTTAAACTCTTTCTTTCATTTAATTCTTTTTCTTTCTATCTTCGTTACTTTCTTAACACTTCTTTTCTTTCATTTCATTTGATTCTTCTTTTATCTTTAATCTCCTTTTCTTTAATTCATTTTTTCTTTTTTCTTAACTCTCCTTTTCTTTCATTTCATATTTCATCCTTTTTCTTAACTCTCTCTCTCTCTCTCTCTCTCTCTCTTTATTTTATTTCTTGTCTTTCTTCTTTTTACTTAACTCTCCCTTTCTTACATTTTCTTTCTTTCTTATTTTTTCTTAAGTCTCCCTTTCTTTCATTTCATTCCTTTCTTCTTTTTTCTAAAGTCTCACTTTCTTTCATATCATTCCTTTCTTCTTTTTTCTTAAGTCTCCCTTTCTTTCATATCATTCCTTTCTTCTTTTTTCTTAAGTCTCCCTTTCTTTCATATCATTTCTTTCTTTCTTCTCTTTCCTTAGCTCTCCCTCTCTGTCATTCATTTTTTTTTCTTTTTTCTTATCTCTCCCTTTCTTGCATTTTATTTTTTTCTTCTTTTTTCTTAACTCTTCCTTTCTTTCATTTCTTTTTCCTTCTTTTTCTTATTTCTCCCTTTCTTTCATTTAATTTCTGTCTTCTGTTTTCTTAACTCTCTCTTTCTTTCATTTCATTTCTTTCTTGTTTTTTTCTTATCTCCTCCTTTCATTCATTTCATTATTTTTCTTTCTTTCTTCCTTTCTTAACTTTCTCTTTCTTTCATTTCCTTTCATTCTTTTCTTCTTTTCTAATATCTAAAGTTTTATCAAAATCCCTTTTCTTCTTCATACCTTTTTCACTGTTTCCTCTTTTAATTAATCTGTATTGGAGTCAGCTTTTTCTAATTTTTCTTCATAGCAACCTTTAAAAAATATTTTTCTTTACGAATGAATTCTTTTTCAATATTTCTCTTTCATAGCATTTATTCTATATCTTCTTTTGGAAAATTTTCTATTGATTCATACTTCATGATCGGACGAGATTTTCGATCTTTCTTTAAATTCTTTCAGTCTCTCTGCCTAGCGTCTCTTGGAAAATTCCTTTCTCTTATTTGACTTCTTAAACAATCCATCCTTCCACCTTTAATATATTTTATTTTCTGTGAAAAAAAGAAATCAGATTTCGCATCAGTAGGGTTCCTGATACCTAACCATATCGTCAGCTTTATCATTACGTCCAACAGTGATTATTATTATTGTTGCGTGTGGTATCATCTTACTGGATAGTAATTTTAAGAGCCTATTACCAAGCCCCTTTGGGGATCTGTGAGTAAAATGAGGAGTATAGAAGAGTTATCTAATCAAATTTGGGACGTTTTGTTTAGACGGAAATCGTTTTGAGGAGGATATATGCAGTTCCGCACAAAGCAATCTTTTGTAAATCTGAGATGCTGATTACCATATTTTTACCATACCCAATGCCCCTATTTTAGTAACCCTCATTTCAGTTTTCAAACATTTTCTTGAATTTCATTGGTTGTTAAATAAAAATAAACTTCGAGAATTCATCCTTAATTTAAATGTTTCAAGAAATCCTATTGGCTGAAAAAAATAAAAAATAGAACATTCGACCAAGCATTTCTCAGAACAATTTTGTTGTTAAAAAACTATAAATAGAAACTGCAAACGAATCTTCGTCGCATTTTGAGACACACACGCAACAATACACACGAGAATTATGTGTCAAAATTGCCGCCAACGAAACAAAATTTCTTTAGGAGAGATTGGAAAAATTCATACAACAAAATTTTTCACTTAATATCTTTCATACAAAAATCTTTTGTCTAAATTAAATTCACCCTTTCAGTCAAAGGCAGACAACTTTTAGACATTGAACATTTCTGAAACAGCAAAGAACTTTTCTTCTATACTTTTGTACACATCAATACAAATAAACAAATTGTAAATTGTGTATATAAAATTTAATCTGTTGTTTCAAACATGTATTTTTTGTCGTGATTGAATATCGTTACTATTTGGTCATTTCTTATAATTTTGCGTATTTGCAGCACAATATTAAATATTCACGCATCTTTCTTAGATCCACTAAACTATCACAAAAGAAATAATCGCAGTTTCAAGTTTCCAGATTTCTCTTACTTCGATTTATAGCTCGTCATAATTTGACGATTTTTCAAATATTTTTTTAGGTACATTAGTACCCTGTGGGCAAGACATATCAATTAGTTGACAGCTTTCTTTTTTTGAATTCTTTGATGACAATGTCTGGATTATTTGCATGAATTTTTCTGTTTGCAAGGATTGGGAAATTTCACAGTATAGTCACCCCACCACCGGTTGTGACATCATTCGGGTAGGTTTTGTACTCTGCATCGGGAACTTCAATATCATATTTCGAAAAGACATGCCAATGAATATATTTTCCTTGCCTGCCAGGACGAATAATGTATTCTTTCTCACCAAGGTCAGGGCACACTGATACTATATGGTCAACAGTTTCATCAATTTTATGGCATAAGCGACAGGTAGGATTTCAGCCATCTTTGTTGAATTTAGCCACGTATGCATTAGTTACATTATTATTATTATTATTATTATTATTAAAAACAGTAGAGGTCAAAGATCTGTGTCTTTTGTTAAGTGACCTCTTAGTAACTAAAATAAAATTGGCTTGTAGATTTTCGCTAGACGGTGAAATTTTTTGCGCGTCAAAAGATGAAAATATTGGAACTCGTGCAATTGATATATGATTGATTGAATGATTGTTTTTTTTTACGTCTTATCAACCTTTTGCATGTTATTTAAAGCCATAAATTATTTTTGATTATAAGATTTTTTTTGTAGATATTAATTATTTACTGATACATTTCCTATTAATTAACCCATAGTTGTGGGGAGAAAGTGTAAATTCACACCTTTCCCAAGGTTATTTGCACGTAAGTGAATATGGCGAACCTGAATGGAATTTGAACACGGCTCTCTGCTTTCTAATCCCGACCTTTTATCCATTACACTACCTACCTACACAACCAATCGTGTAGCCCCTGGCATTCTCAAGCCGTCACTCACCTAAATACCGATCAGTCTCGGTTTTGCTTAACGTCGGAGATCGTACGAGAGCAGGTGTTTTAACGTGATGTAAGCTTCAACTAGTTGAGAAGCGTCGAGTCTGGATAATCTTTAAGAAAAGGAGTTTGTAGCCTTGTGTCACATTCGTTGTTATTAAGAAACTCCAAGTTACATGCAACTTTAGCCGATCACGATCCTTCTGTCTCCATTAATTAATTATTTGTGAATTGCCAACTATTTTAGAAAGGATTTACCGATGCCTACTCCACTGTTTGGAATTCAAAATTGTCCAATTAGACTAGTCACCATATAAGTAGACTAATATACCGTACTATCTGATCAGTAGCTACCTTGAGGGAGTAGAGGACAAAGACAATATACCGACGTTTTCATCACGGTGAAAATACGGATCCCCTGCGATAAACGAAGTTAAACAGTGTCGAGTTTGGTAAGTATTTAGACGGGGAACTCCCGGTACGGTAAGCAACCTCTTACAACCTGAAATATATTTAGGCTTTAAATAAACAACAACGGTCTGTCTATATCTCTGAGATGCGGTATTATGATTACGTGGATTATTTACATTATTCAAACTGTTATCTTCAACTTCATTGCCATATTTAAAACATTTCGGCCTTTGTAAGCTCCGGCCTTCTTCCGATGACTGGAATTTAGAACCGAACCCCTTTATTTCGTCCACAAGGGTAGAATCTTCTTGTTCCACGTGTCATGCCTCTTCCGGATGTCTCAGTTATTACTCTTTAACTCAACTGTTGTGGCCTCGTATTGAACTCACAACTCTTTAGGTCTAGTCAATGGATCTAACCAACGTCTTCATCAACTGGTCATATCTTTACCATAGCTTATACTGAAATTTTTTGTGTTGTTATTCATTTCTTTTCTCTTGCACTCCTTATTACTGGTTCCCATATTGTATTCATTTCTATGCTTGGTCGGATCAGGAGTTTTTTGTGGATTTTTGTGAAATAATAGATAGAGAACATCACTGGAAAACACGAAAACTTAAGGAATCACCACATATGCCAGGCATGGCCCGTGGAACTAGAACAATCTACTCCGCTGGGCGAAATAAGGTGTTCGTTTCGAAAAGTCCAATCACCTGAAGAAGTCCGGTGCGTACAATAGCCGAAACGTTGTGAATATGGCAATATAGATCAAGATAACAGTCCGAATAATGTAAATAAATTAAGTAAACAACAAAGGGTTGATAAGTTTTAAAAAAAAAAACAACAAAAAAAAAAAAAAAAACTATCGCTCAAAAATCGTGAAAGTGAAAGCAACAGACGAATCCGGGATTTGAACTCCGATCGTCGATTCTACTATCTGCTCATCCTTATTTGCATACAGTTCCTCAGCAAAAGTGTGTAGACGCGCGTACACGGTGGTGGAGTTAAAGACTGGATTTTTTCCCGAACACGTTCTTTCGAATAGCAGATCTTCGCGTCTTTTCCGACGAAATTTTCTTTTCTTTTCGAATATTTTTTGACAGTTGTTCGGCGAAAACAGAAGCACTTTGGCGTTTAATAGCGCTTCTGGGTAAGATCAGGGAAAAGCCAAAATTCTGGATTGCAGGTTTGGCAAGAAAGTAAAATGGAGAGAAAGAATTCAGGATGGGAGTGGGGGGTCAACACGACTGGAATTTAGAGTTTGGGATGGTGGGTGTAGTATTTGTAGGGATAGGATTCAGTTGTGCTGGGGGGCAGAGATGTCTACTGGTTAGTGAGAACAAAAAAAACCGTGGATGAAAATAATTGTCATACGGTTGATGGTTCGTGTTAAATTAGAAGGAAGAAGAGGGAAAGAGCGAGAATTTATCTAGAATAATTCTTGTCACCACTTTTCCCACACATGCGCAGTTTTGCATTGTTTTCCCGCCCCAAGGTTGCATATAAATAGGCAATAACTAAAAGCCAGTTGTTGTCGTTGTCGGCTTTATCTCGTATCTAAGAATTTAATTTCTTCTTTGCTGATCGCTTTTTCTGTGATGATGGCATTGATGACTACATTCACCGCCAACACGCAGGTTCAAAACTAGTTTCTAGTTTCATTAAAACTTGTTTCTGTCATCCATTGCCTATCACCGTTTATCTTTACAAGAGTTGGTTGGCGGTGAAACGAAATCGGAATAGAAGAAAGACCAGTGGTGTCGATTTATTTAAGGCAGACCTTAATTTGCCAGGAAGTGACCCACACACTTTAATTCATGACCTTCCTCTGCGGCACATATGGAATCAGACATGCAGAATCCGGATATGAAACTGAAAACTAATGCCCATGATTCTGTTTTAATTTCGAGTGGCGCTTTCTGTAGCATATCCGTAACGCGTAGCCTTCTTTATCCATTGATTCAACCGTCGAGATCTGTTCTAATCGTCATTCGCTTGTTCAACCGTTGGAATTTTTGGGGGGTGGGGGTTAGTGGCGCTTTTTCTGGGTCCTTGTCTTCGATCTTGCCACTAAGGGAAAAAGACTCTAATACCAAAATAAATTTAACATAGTTTACGTCTTAATATGTTTTAGAGAAAAGAATTATCGATATTTTTAAAATATTAGTATCACCATCTTTATTCTGTTTAGCACACGTTTCGGCCGATATCGTCTCCTACCTTCCTAGAGTTATCTGAAGCACAAGACGTCGTAAGCTCCACGTTATTTCTATTGAAAATGTTCTGACGGGTTATATACATTAGTTCCACCAGTCTAGATCTTCATAGGTAAAAAAACCACCATGACAGGTCGACTGCGACGAATCACTTCCATTTCTCTTGATGGTAATGAAAAGTTCCATTTGGACAGATTCTTCATCAGAAGAGCTACTTTCTGGAACAAATTTTACTCATAATTCCTCATCTAAAAAACCAAAAATGCCCTTGACGTTTTTTTTTTCTTATGAAGATTATATCTCACAGCTCAGATTGAAGGCAAAGGCAAACAGCGCATGATTTGCCTAACGAGCAAGCGTAGATTGTTGGACAACAGGTATTAGGAGCGATAACAAAAAGATAAAATGAACTAAGAGCTACAAAGGGGCGGGAATTGTGGAGAGCCATGATCACCAAGGTTTTAAGGGACATAACACACAGAAGAAGAAACACATCAAATATCTCACAGGATAGATTGAAGGCAAAAAAGCACAGAAGAAAGCAGAGCATAACCTGTCAAAAGAGCATGTGTAAATTGTTGGCGCAACAGGGATTAGGAGAGATAGCAAAAAAAACAAACATTTTCTAAGAGCTACAAAAGACCGGAAATTGTGGAGAGCCATGATCACCAGTGTCCTGAAGTGACACAGCACATAGAAGAAGAAGAAACACTTCAAATATCTCAGAGGACAGACGCAGGTTTAGATTTAACTGCTTTCCTAAATAACCTCATATGTAGTTCCTCTTCTTACACACAACAATCTCATTCAGTAACACTCTACCTTGACTGACTCTTGGGCCTTGTATTGAATGAAAATTTATTAAAAGAAAAAAAAACTGAAGGAATTCATTATTCTGCATATATTGATGCACTAATACCTTGACTGACAACCCGCCTAGGAGAAGGAAAACTGACCGTTATTCATTTCTTTCTGCTTTCATTTATTGCCTTGACATAGTTGATTTTTTAGAGTCATATCAATTTCCATAGGTTATTTAATGGTTGTAATCTAGAGAAGGTTACTGAGTAGAATAATCACACGAATGTTGGTAATGAACGAGAATACTTAAGACACGAACAACGCGTATAAGATTCGCCAGCGGCGCGTAGAAGAAGTAGTCAAGTGAATTCCACAATGAATCTCCAACGGCAGGATATGTACCAACCTCCCATGCGGTCAGATGTGGCACAAGGCCGAATTTAATGTGGGGTACCCGAGCCAGTAGGCTCGTCCAAAATCTCCCCGTACACATAAACGGGGTCGGGTAGGTGTTTCCCGAGACGAGACTCTGCTCTTCGTCAAAGCCTCGTCTGGGGATCCTCTCTTCCCGGAGGCAGAGAGTTTGGCCAGCACAGCTGGAGACGAATCTCCACCTGCGGACGAAAATACAGTATTTACTACTGTGTTTATATGAATGGAGACTTAACAATTATCGCCCGTAGGTATACGCTACAACATTAATGCTGCTGAAATCTAAATTTACCTACTGGATTTTATTTAATAATTTAAGAAAAATGTTTTTGATAATAAGAGTTTTAGTGATACAAGTCTTACTAATTAACCCATAGCCGGAGGAGAAGCAGTGAATTCATACCTTTCCTGAGGACATTTGCCTGTGAGTATAACGAACACAACAGAAATTAGAAATGGGCTCTCCGATTAACAATTTCGAGAGCTATTATCTGCATATCCAAGCGTACAGCACCGGTTATTAAGAAGCGGTCACCCATCTAGGAACAGCCCAGGCTCAAGATTGCTTAATTTCTGTGATCTTAGGGAAAACGGTATATCAACGTGATCTGGAACATTTACTTTCAATGCGGTGTTATCTGCATATCTGTTGCTGCTGAGTTTGTTTTGTTTTCTTTTTAACAATAATAAATTCCGGTAGAAATTCTAGTTCCCTTCGGATCTCCTTATCCTATATATTAAATAAATCTTTTTTTTTATAAGCATTTCACCCCAAGTAAGGCTGGAAGCCAGTAGCACGCAAGGGGTTACATAGGATTTGGAGCGAGAGCAGATAGAAGTGATAAAGGAAAGGATTAGGAGAAGGATAGTGGATAGATCAAGGCAACTGGAGATGTCTACTGAGATTACATTTGAATAGTTGGAGATTATAGCTATCAGGGAAACAGGAAAAGGGAAGGCGCCACAAGCGGGAGGTGCGAGATTTAAAGCTATTGGAGTAGAAGAGACGGCTACATTTAACAATTTCAACAGTGAAAGGGTGAGAGCGGGATGCCAGCCTCGTAGGACACTTGAATTCGCGAAAGCAGCTCATCGGAGCAACTACCATGAAAGTATTTGAAAAAAATAGACATAGAGAGGCGACGGCACGTGTGTGAGAGAGTGACTGCAAACGAGATGCCAGATCAGGGTCAATTACATTGCATATCCGTCTCTGGATCTTATCAAGAACCCGAGGCAAACAGAAGGGGCTCCAGACCATATATGGCAGCAATACTCCATGCAAGGGCGAATGGTTGATTTGTAGATTTGAAGGATCGATTCCGGGGAGAAAAATTTCCTGGCGCGGCACAGGGAGCCAACTTTCCTTGCGGTGGATGAAGCAATTGACTCAATGATGAACGAAGCTGGGAGAAGATGCATCGTTGTATTCCGTCTCATTCTATTTTATACACATACTTACACTTGGTATTTGTTATATAGGAAAAAAGCGTCTCTGCCGAAACTGGAGTTTGAACACAGATCACCAGAGAGAAAACACAGGCGATCCCATTTTGAATAAGTAGATCAAGTTATAGTTAAGAAAATGTATATATGGGAATTAGCGTGGCGTCTAGTTGATCACTATACGGATTACTTCGGAGGTGTGCTTGTCGAACTCTTTGACTCCAGGCAGAGAGGAACCTAGACGAGGCATGGTCAAAGGGCAGAGTCTCGTCTGGGGTGGTAGACAGCTACCAAACCCCGCTTTTTACGGGGTCTACGGGGATATTTTTGGCCCGAGCCTCCGGGCTTGGATACCCCACAATAAACTCGGCCTTGTGCCACATCCGACTATTCAGTGGTTACTATTCGAGCGAGCATTATTGAGCAAGTACTATTAGTGCGAGTGATATTCGAAGACATCTGACACCAGTATTGTTCAACGGCATTACTATAGTTGTATCTGTTATTACAAAGTCTCTACTACAACGAGCATTACGAAGGTGACAAGTATTTGTTGACATTACAAAAGTAGCAACGAGTGTTCGTTGACATCACAAAAGTATTTTTGCTATATATCTAGAGATCCTCAACGTGACGCAATGTTATTGATCCTGACCTGGCATCTAGACTTCACTTACTTTCCCACTGCCGTGACGTTGCTTCCGTCTGTAACTTCTATAACTATTCTCACTGCAATTGTTCTAATAAGTTTTCCTCCTTGGTACCTCAACCGCATGAATTGAGCGTACCACTAGATTGGCAACTATGTCTCGCCGATTTAATGTTGAAATAGCTAGATGTAACCGTAAGGTCTATTCAAATAATTGCTTCCCTTGGACCCACAAAATCCTCTTTAGTCAATCGATGAAAAGTAAGTTCCACACGAGCAGCTTCTTCCAACGAACCACTTCTCCGTGGAACTGAGGATATTCCCCCAATTATTACAGTCATAACTTGTTCAGGTCTAGGGTTGACCGTTATCTTCCTCTCCTATCAGTATAAACTGCGCTCTATCTAGAGCGGTCTCTGGACTTTTATATACGATGAACATTCTGTAAAAAAAAAAATGACGTCACGTCTGTGGAACTCTCTTCAATCTTTGTCTTTCTGCAAACTAGGAGCTACAAAAATTAAAATGTAACGTCGATCACTATATTCTGTTTTCCTGAAACCTGTTCTTTTATTGTCCTTTCCCCCTAACAACGTCTTCTCATTCTCTTTCGCCTGCGTCGGAATGACATTATCGCCTTGCTTGACGTGAAATGAAAAAAAAAATCAATTCGTTTTCAATCCGTATGCAGTTTTTTTTTCAAAAAATATTCTGGATTAGTAACATATTAGTAACATAACATTAGTAACATATCTTTCGCCTCAAAATTAAGTTCCCCTGACAGTTCAAATAGATCTTTATATCATATCTTATTGAATCTTATGAAATATAGTAAAACCTATTTTAAATATTTTCCACTTGCCACTTCGAGGATCAAACGTTCAAATCGGCGATTTGATTTTTGTAATAGAACGACATCGATTATTTTCGAAAGCGGTTTAAGTAATTAGAGCAGTACAAGCTTATGAAGCATGACATATGAACATCTTTCCAAACGAAACACCTAGATGTGATATAAAAAAGAAACAAAAATAAACGTGTACGCTTAAATCAGATTCGCTTTGATGTTAAAAAATAAAAGGGAATTTTATCATATTTTCCAAGTATGTTATATGTTCTCGATTGATGTAAGCAAAAAAAAGGTTTATTTTGTTTTTATTACTGAGAATGAACGCGTACAAAATCTAAAGATTAGTGTTTATACTGCAGGACTTTCGATTTCATGGAAGGAAGCAGAATTTTATTTTGTTAATTTCACGAGAGGCAATAAAAGTAAATAGGGAAATGAAGAAATAGAAAAGAATGAAAGAATGGGGTGTAAAAATGAAGGTCCTAGCAAGGAGCGATATAAAAAAGAAAAAGTAGAAAAACAGAGACAGAAAGATAAAAAGGAGCATATCGAAAAATATGGTAATGAAAGTAAGAGTGAAAAAAATAATAATGAAGAAGCAAAATGAAGAAAAAAAAATGAAAGAATAAAAGAAAAAAAGACAAAAAAGGAGAAAAAATGAAAGAAAAAAAAAAAAAAAAAAAAAAGACAAAAATGGAGAAAAGACTGGAAGACTAAAAAAAAAAATGATGAAACTGAGAAGGAAGGCTGAAAGAATAAAAATGAAAAAAGACGAAATGGAAAAAAGACTGAAAGAACAAAAAGGGATGAAATTGTGAAAGACGGCTGAAAGGATAAAAATGAAAAAATGAAAATGGGAAAGAAACTAAAAGACTAAAAAGGAAAAAAGATGAATTTGAAGGAAGCTAAAAAAGTAAAAAATGAAACAGACGAAATGGAGAAAGAAGACTGAAAGAATAAAAAGGAAATGATGAAATTGAGAAAGAAGGCTGAAAGAATAAAAATGAAAAAGACGAAATGGAGAAAGACGGCTGAAAGAATAAAAGGAAAAAGATGAAATTGAGAAAGAAGGCTGAAAGGATAAAAATGAAAAAAAAACGAAATGGAGAAAGAAAACTAAAAGACTAAAAAGGAAAAAGATGAAATATAAATCGAACAAAGAAAGAATGAATCAAGAAATAATTTTTTATTTGTTTTTTTTTATCGGTATCACCCCACGCAAGGCAGTAAAGCCACTAAGACACAAGGGGTTTACAGGGTGTGGAAGAATTGGGAACCGAAAGATTAATAATGAGTGGAAAGAGAAAAAAAAGTAATCAGGAGCGCGAACAATAAAAGCGTAATCATTTTCTATAAACTTGTCCTTTTATGGAAGAGGAGAAAAGTGTCAAAGGGTGAATTTAGCAGTAGCACAAAATAAAAAAAAAACTCAGGTGAACTCTTCCGACTAATAACCCGATAGTTGAAAGGGTTCACCAGAGTTCTTAAAACAAGAAAAAACAAACGATGACTTCCAGCAGGCGGGAAAGCAGGAGGCAGCGAGGTATTTATTATAAAGTTTAGAGAGAACAGAGGCCAGTTCAGGATCTCACCTCTTAATGACGTTATGGGCATCTAGGCTAGAGATGATAGCAGCAAACATGGGATGGGGTTATATGTATTTCGCTCAACAGAGATTCAGTTCTAATTGGGAAGTTAGGCAGGGATAATCCAGGTGAGTCAAGGGTAGAGTTTGAGAAGAATTTACGGGCAAAGAATTTATCTTTATCAGCAAAGGATAACACCTCAAATTGATTGAAGAAGTGAAGAATAAAGCCCTTGCATTTATTTAATATCCTATTACAGCGACACCAGCAATCACGAGGGCTAAAGTTGTTGGATTCTATGCGCTGTCTCATTCTATCAGCAAACCGGACTTAGCTCCTTTGAGAACTTGCTTACATTTATTATGAGCAGTAACAAATACGCGCCTGTTATGATGAGAGCTGTCACGCAGGTATAACCGAAAGTAGTGGTTCCTGTGTGCTATAGCGGCCCAGCATGCTGGTGTGAACTATGGAAAGGGTTGAGTATTTTCGAGAAGGGATGAAAGCGTCCATGCTGGCTTTGACTCAGAAAGTAACCTCTTTGGTGCAATTTTCAAGATATCATTTCAGTGGACGTCACGAAGCATATCACGAAGTGAGTCCTAATCAGCATGTTGATAACTGAAAGACGTCTTATGGATAAGGCGTTTCTGCTTAACGGATGACTGGAACGAAATATCAATGGATACCACAGTGTAGTTCGAATTACATAGAGAGCGGTATTGCAAAGTTCGGCATGGGCGAGGAGAGGAGGTGAGAATAAATCAAATAGAAAAGCCTGTTGCTCGGTTTTTCTAGGGAAACTAGTAGAGAAGTCCACGGTCTGAGTAAGGGATTGGGCAGTAGAAAATCTAATGTTTGAATACTAGCAATATCAGTACATTTAGTATGTTTCAGTCACGTGTCAAAGTGAGTTAAAGACGTTCGCAGATGGATGGAGAGAAAGTGCTTTTTCTATACTGTCAATAATAATGTCTAATATATTACAATCCTGGGAAGAGTGGGAGCGTTAAAGGAAAAAGGGGATCTAACGGAGTTTGGTAACGAAAGGCGGAAGCACATGAAAAAGTATTCATGGGTCGCGTGACAAATTCTCTGGTTATAATTTGATTGATTTAGTTTCTACAGCTTATCAATCTTTTGTAGGTTATTTAAAGCCAGCATATATTTTTAGAGTGTAAACATTTTTTGAGGAGAAGAGGTGCATTCGTAACGGTCTTAATGTACACACTGGTCCGAAAGTTTTGTCACCCCTTACGAAAAGGTAATGGGAACAATAGAACAAGTAATACGGGTAATACAAAGCACATGTACTGGATCCAGTTTATTCATTTTTCATTGACGCTGTCACACATCAAGAAAGTCGATATGAACACCATCATTTGCGTATCAACCATCTGAAAAAAGAAATATGTAGAATGACAAGACTTTTGAACTACCTTGTAGATTCATAGATGAAATTACAAAACATCCTCCTAGGTAATCAAGTGAAAAGACGGTAAAAAGTGAAGGATCAATTTTGTATTGTTCTTTGGTATTAAACACATCCCCCATTTCTTGGCTATGGTATAGGGTGGTCTGAAAGTCTTGTCATCCCTACCAAAAAGTAATGAGTCATAGAACAAGTAACACAGTAATACAAAGCACATGGATACTGGATTCAGCTTATTCAATTTAATTTGACGCTGTCACGCATCGAGAAGGTCTGTATGAACACCTTTATTTTCGTGTCACCCATCACCCATCAGAAATAGAAATTTACATTATATGGAAGTGACAAGACTTTCGGACCATCACATATATATATATATATATATATATATATATATATATATATATATATATATATATGGTGGATTCTCCCGTCGTATTCGAGGTATGAGGGTCAAGCAGCTTAGTTCCAAGGAACCGACAACCCAGACACCAGCACATATGATTTGAATATAGTGGGGAATGTTTTGTGCAGAAACACTTTTTGAAGGGCCGAATACAGAGACCTGGTGTACTACACGCCACAGGGTCCCCAAACGACCCTCCGCCGCTTTTGAATTCAGGGTTGTCCTTCTCCTAGACCAGTTACCATTCAAAGCTATAGAACCCAGTCTGTCCTGCTATTTATCCATAGCTGGAGGGAGAAGAGGATCCATACCTTTCCCAAGGGTATTAGGACGTAAGTGAATGTAATGAAATTGATTGAATTGAATATATATATATATATATATATATATATGTGTGTGTGTGTGTGTGTGTGTGTGTGTGTGTGTGTGTGTGTGTGTGAATAACGAACCCAACAGGAATTGGAACTCAACTTTCCGATTAAAAATTGCAAGCACTTTACACCACCCGCACATCCAACATTACAGCATCTGACATTTCAAGCGCTCACCCATCTTGGAACTGACCACGCTCGCCATTGCTTAACTTTGTTACTTTATCTAAGAAGAGTTGATCTACAGTAGTCCCAATATGTGCTGGATTCAGCCTAAGTATCCTATTCCATGTCACCTAAGAAGGTTAAAAGATCTAGGAGCTCCGAGCGTTGACTTAGAAAATTATATGGAAGCCAGCAAGCGCAGAAAATTGTCACGAATAACGAGCGTGTGTGCACTAATAGAAACAACGAAGTGAATCCAAATGAACTTCGGCTATTGATCCGCATCACGATTAAATAAGAGAAATATTATCTAGGAATCAAGTGTCGCTGCCGACACTTGAGATTGAGCATAGATCCCCAGTGAGTAAACACAGGCGATCCCAATATTGAAGTAGACAACGTAACCATACAGGAAACGCATATAAGGGAAGTAGCGTGTGTCTAATTGATTGCTATTTCTAGTTTATCCTCTATACTATACGCATCGTCATTTCTAGTCTATCCTCTATACTATACGGACCGCTGTTCTTTACTCTATTCACTATACTATTTCTCTATTCAGATCACTATAAGGTGGTTACTATTCCAGCAAGTATTATCGAGCGAGTACTATTAGTGCGAGTGATATTCTAAGGCGTCTGACTTCCGCATTGTTCAACGGCGTACTATAGTTGTATCTGCGATTACAATGTCTCTACTACAACGAGCATTACAATAGTGACAACGAGTGTTCTCTGACATCACAAAAAGAAAGTTATTTAAGTGCTCAAACTACGAGAGGTGGGAGAAAAGAATCCCCTACGCATTCGCACGAAGATTAAACGTTCACAGAAAACCCGAAACCACATACCATTGATTCAGCCAAGGTTAATATGAAAGTGTCCTATAGTGACTACACAATACTTTTAAGCATGGAAAATTTAGTCTCGTATTCTTGTATGACTTTGCTAACATAAAATTGGATAAGAATTTGGATTCAAAGAGAAATTTATCGAGGAAGAAGACAGCCACTTCACGAAGGCTGTAGGTGGAACTGCCGGAAAGTTGCGGTTATAACCAAGATACACATTCTGCAACTAATAATTCCTCATCTAAAATAATCCAATATAAAGTCTCTTTCGAATCGTCTAACTACATATATTTGTCTTAGAGTCTATTTTACTGTACTGTTATTGGTACTATTTCTTAAACGCTGAAAAGTTTTAATTCGATCAGTTTTAAAATACTAGGTCTGTAATTCATATAGCGACATGTAGTTATTGACTGAAATGGGATCAGAAATTGGCATACATAATGATCAAGGTTTGTTATTAGTATTCACTGTCGAATTAAATACATTACGAAGACAAATTATAATACTGAAAAATATTTCTATTGTCATATTTATTTCGGTACTAGCAGTAGAGCCCGGTGTTGCCCGGGGATGTAACAGTAAGAGATAGATCAAGTATCGACCATCATAAAGACTGAAAAATAAAATTGACAAAGATTATTGTTTAAGGTTGACGGACTCGCATGTCTTAATTAGTTTTGCTTTTTTGGGATTTTTTTTTTACGAATTGGTCAAACCCAAACTGAAACAAAAACATTGTTTTCAATCGTTATGAGTCTACCGATTGAATAGAATTTTATTATAAACAATTGTCTTGTAAATGGAATTTTTAAAGCATTCTGAATGTAAAAATAAAGAAAAAAGTGTGCAAGACAATAAGGAACACTACATGCCAAAAAGAAAGTGATGTTTTGTTGAGATCGGTTAAAAAATGTAGGAAATCCGATCCCATATATAAACGAACACACACACACACACACACACATTACCTGGGTTTTATAATAAGTATAACTCGATATGAGTTGTCCCCCTTTCATTTTCGCGATGCCTCTTAATCGTGTTTTCAAATTGATTTCATGCAAAAACATTTGTTTTTTTCCAATTTTTGGCGCTGTCAGAACCACCACAAGGTAGTTTTACGTAGTCCTGTGAAGTTTTGTTAAAATCGGTTGAAAATTGTAAGAAATCCGATCCAACATATAAACGTACAGACTCACACACACACACACACGGCCTGGGTTTTATAATAAGTATGATTCACTCTGAATTTTGGGAATTGGAAATTAGTAAGAATCGATTGTCAAGAATTAAAGCTTATTTAACGAAATGTATTTCCGATTATATTATTATTACAGCATTGCATAAAAAATCAAAACGAGATGGTTTGTGGTCAATTCAGGAGAAGCATTACAAACAGGATAGGACTGTTATACGTAAAATATAAATGCATTGCTAATGCCTTTTACCATAGCAATCCGCTGAAAATAAAAATTCCGTAATTCCTACACCCCTGGAAGTAGAAATTGCGGTAACATTATTTACAAAGGATTTTCTAAGCCTAATGTAAATACTGGGTGAAAAATAAATGAACGAAAGTTTTAAAACCATTATAACGCAAATTAAGCAAATAATAAAGCAACATAGTCTGTCTATATTTCTGAGATGAGGTATTATGTACATTATTTACATTATTCGGACTATTGTCCTCATCTTTGTCGCCATATTTATTACAACGTTTCGGCCGTTGTACGCTCCGGCCTTCTTCAGGTGGTTGGTATTTCGAATTGAACCCTTTGTTTCGCTCACTGGAGTAGACTGTGCCATGTTTAATGGATGTCAGTTATTAGTTATCTCCTGCTAATTTCCCTCTGAAAGTTCTCCACTGCCTTAACCGGGTATTGAACTCACACTCTTTGGGTCCTGTCACTGGATCTAACCAACTTCTTTATCCACTGTGTCATGTGTTCTCAAGGACAGTGGATAAAAAGTGGCCGAAACGTTGTAATAAATATGACGACAAAGATGAGGACAATAGTCTGAATAATGTAAATGAAGGGCTGCTTGGTTAGGATGAGAACATTTCAGTATCTTCCTCATATATATGAGAAATATTAGAGTCTTTCTATATTTCTGAGATGAGGTATTATGTTCATTATTTACATTATTCATTATTCTCATCTTTGTCGCCATATTTATCACAGCGTTTCGGCCGTTGTACGCTCCGGCCTTCTTCAGGTGGTTGGAATGTCGAACTGAACCCTTTATTGCACAGTGGATAAAGGCGTTGGTTAGATCCAGTGACAGGGCCCAAAGAGTGTGAGTTCAATACCCGGTTAAGGCAGTGGAGAACTTTCAGAGGGAAAATTAACGAAAGGAGATAACTGATAACTGACATCCATCAAACATGGCACGTGGAACTAAAACAGTCTACCCCATAAAAGCGAAATAAAAGGTTCAGTTCGACATTCCAACCACTTGAAGAAGGCCGGAGCGTACAACGGCCGAAACGTTGTGATAAATATGGCGACAAAGATGAGGAAAATAGTCCGAATAATGTAAATATTGTAAATAAAACAACATATTTTGAAACAGATGTGTATGAAATAGGGTTTATGAAATTACAACAAATTCTCATAGCTGATTCTTTGTGTCATGACCGAAAGTTTTTTCTCGTCTGAATCCATCCTTCACATCTCTAAAACTTTGCATGGAATATTGCTTTCATATATGGTCTGGTGCCCCCGTTGTAAGTATCGAGATCCTCGACAAAATCCAGAGACGAATAAGCAATATGATAAATCCTGATCTGGCATCTAGTCTACGTTCGCTTTCTCACAGATATGCCATGTCTCTGTCTCTTCTATAAGTATTTTCACAGCAACTGTTCCGACGAGTTGCTTTTTCTCGTTCCCAGGCTGCATGAATTTACGCGAGCTACTAGGTTGGCACCTCGGTCCCACTCTTTCACTGTCGAAACGGTTAAATGTAACTGTCTTTTCTACTCAAACAGCTTCTCCCGCACTTCTCTTCTGTGTAATTCTCTTCCTCTTACTTGCTTCCATGATAACTATAAACTTCAAATATTCAAGTGTAATGTCAATCGACATCTTCTGATACCTTGATCTTGTTACCTGTCTTTCTCTTTACCCTCTTCCCAAACACGCCACTTTACTCTTGTTATCTAACTTCTGTAGCCTCTTGCGTGCTAGTGACATACCCTCGCCTTGCTTGGGGTGAAATGTTCAAAAAAATGTTCCACCATTGTATAACTTAGGCTGCACGTTTCTTCACAGATAGGCGTAAATAATTGTCTATCAAAACACATTGAACTAACATACTGACCAGCTATGGCAGCAATATTTCGACCATAGACGAATAGTAGACTTATAAATATATGATAGATTCGAGCGAGAAAAATTGTCTAGCACATCACATTGAATTATCTTCCCTAGCAGTAGAAATATCATTATAATATTTCCACTTCATATCAGCAGAAAACGTTAGCACAAGAAAGGGTTAGCATCAGCCATACTGATGGAAGGTAAAAAGATATTCTCTCAGAAGATTAAGATAGATCACTTTCGTTTTAGAGGAGTTGATATTTACAAGCCATTTCTTGCTCCAATTAACAACAAATTGTAAATCATTTTTGAAATCAGCTGTTAATTTAACCCTATCAAAACGGTTCGATTTACCATTAAGGCTGGAGTAAATCAGCATAGATATCGAGTTGAGAACTCAGGTCAACAGCAATGTCACTGATGAAAAGTAGAAACAACGTAAGTCCAAGGATAGAGCCTTGGAAACACCTGCATTAATGAAAAGAAAAGATCTAGAAGAGTGGCCATTTGAGAGTACTTTCATTTCGTGATTTAATAAGAAAGCCTGAATCTATTCAAGAATTCGTACAGAATTACCATGACCTTTCAACTTGTGAATTCTCATTTGAAATGTGGACGTAGAAATGAAATGTATTTACTGTTAGAATGTGTACTCACAATAAATGTGGATTCTGAAAAATCTATATTATGTCACGTGTAGAAGAACCTGCAAAATATGAAGAAACCATTGCCAAATGTTTAGAGTCCCTTGAGTATATGTGAATGCACATTATTATTATTATTATTATTATTATTATTATTATTTCCTTTGATTTCTTTTGTATACCCTTTCCTTCAGGGTCCCAACTAGGGACGTAATGTTTGATAAGGCTTCATCACATTTTCCACTGATTCCACTGTCCATTTTTGTAAATAAATATATTATTATTATTATTATTATTACTAATATTATTATTACTATTAATATTATTATTACTATTTTTATTTTTATGATTACTATTTTATTATAACTATTATTATTAATACTATTACTATTATTAATTGTATTATCCTTACTGTTATCATTATTAATATTTTTATACTACTATTATTGTTATTAGTATTACTATTTTTATTATTACTCTTATTATTATTACTATTTTTTATAATTACTATTATTATTATTAATACTATTAATATTATTAATTTTTTTATTATTATTATTATTATTAGTATTTTATTATTATTATTATTACTATTTTTATTATTACTATTATCATAAATAATGCTTTTTTACTATTATTAATTTTATTATTATTACTATTATTATTATTATTTTAGTATTACTATTATTATTACTATTACTATTTTTTATTTTTACTATTTTATTATTAATACTATTATTATTAATTTTACTATTATTATTATTACTATTTTAGTATTATTATTATTATTACTATTACTATTTTATTATTACTATTATTATTATTATTAATACTATTACTATTAATAATTTTATTATTATTACTATTTTATTATTACTATTAGTCTTATTACTATTATTACTATTTTATTATTATTATTATTATTACTATTATTACTATTTTTATTATTACTATTATTATTATTATTAATACTGATACTATTAATAATTTTATTATTATTACTATTATTATTACTATTTTAATATTACTATTATTCTTATTACTATTATTACTATTTTTATTATTACTATTATTACTATCACTATTATTATTACTATTATTATTATTACTATTATTACTATTATTATTGCTATTATTACATATTTATGATTCCGCTCTCGTTTCTTACCGAACTTCAGTCTTTCCCTTATGCCCTTATTTTCGCTACAAGCCCTTATGTTCCATTGGGCAGTGGTTAGATCTTATTCTGTGTAACTGTTCGGGGATATCGAAACTTTATTTCGCTGTGTCCGCAAGAGATTTGCTTTGTGCGTTTCTGACTTGCAGCTTTATCTAAATCTGTTTCTGTCTATCGGTGTCTGCCTCTGTTTCCACTGTGTGTCTCTGTGTGTTCGTAACATCTCCATTCTTTGTCTTTCCTGTGCACCCAATCAGATCCCAATTTTGTTAACTTTTTTTTTCTTTGGCGGATAAAACCGGCAGCGTGGGCGAGGGCGTCTGTTGACATCGCCCCGTCCACGTCTTGTCTGTCCTCTCTCTTGCATGCAAACAATCTCTGACCTTTCTCCTGTCATATTTGAAGAAGTCATTCTCTCTATCCTCCACGCGATTACGTGCTTTGCATTTCTCCAAGTCTCTCTCTCGATCGCACAGTTCTTTCTCTTTATTCAATAGTTCTTATACCAGCATTTCCATTTCTGTCTCTCTTTGTAAATTCTGCTTTTCTGTTACCTTCACTAAATTATTATCTTCACTAGAGTTTCTGTATCAATTGTCTTCCGACTATATCTCCTTCCCTCATTATCACCCTTCCATTGACTTGCTTTTTGGTCTTTTTTTCTTTATCGAGTTTACTGATGCGAAATAATTTTTAGTCTCTCTCTTTCAAATTCTCTAACTTCATTTACGTCCATCTTTGTTTTACGATTCCTTCGTATTTTTTAGCAGCTAAGTATTTTTTTTCTTTAAATAATTTTAATTCACTTTTTTCTTTCCATTCCTCGTTTTCGTCAATTTTTTCTTTTTTTCCGACTCTTTATTTTTGCATTGCTCAACTTTCTTTCTTTCTTTCTTTCTTTCTTTCTTCCCTTTATCCTTCTTTTTTCTTCCTTTCTTTCTTTCATTCGTCCTTCTTTTCATTCTTTCTTTCTTTCTTTCTTTCACCTTTTCATTCTTTAACCTATTCATCTTTCCTTTCTTTCTTTCTTTCTTTCTTTCTTTCATCCTTCCTTATTTCTTTCCTTCTTTTCTTTTTTCTTTCGTTCTTTCTTTCTTTATTCTTTCTTTCTTTCTTTCTTCCTTTCTTTCTTCCTATTTCTCCCTTTCTTTCGTTCTTCCTTCTTTCCTTCCTTTTCTTTCTTTCTTTCTTTCTTTCTTTCTTTCTTTCTTCTTTCTTTCTTCCTGGTTTTCCCCCTTTCTTTCTTTCTTTCTTTCTTTCTTTCTTTTATCTGAATTATTTCTTCTTGCTTAATTTTTTCTCCTCCTTCTCTCTTTTCCCATGTTTCTTTGTTTTTCATTTTTTACGCACATTTTACAATTCTTTCTTTCTCTTTCTTCTCTGGATAATTCTTATTGCTTGCAAATTTTTTATAATTTTCTTTTTCTTATTTCCTTTTCTTTTCCGTTCATTTTCTCACAGCTTTTTTCTCTGTCTGTTCGTTTGCCTCTCTCTCTCTCTCTTTCTCTTTCTCTTTCAGTGTCCTTTTTTCCTTAATTTCAATTTCTTCCTCGCAATTTCTCTTTCTTTTCCTTCTTTGTTTTCATATTTTTCTTCTTTTGTTTCCTTAATTATACGCCTTTGTCGCTCGTTCATTTTTTGTTGATTTATATATTTTTTCCTTCCACTTTTAGCATCTTTCCCAACTTTGTTTTCTTTCTTACTTCCAATTTTATTGCTTCACATTTTGAGTTATATTTCTCTTTTTTGGCACTTCTTTCATTTTTTTTCTTCATTCATTTATTCATTCATTTATTCTTTCTTTCTTTTTTTCTGATTATTATTTCCGTGCCTCAATTCTCTTTTCTTTTTTTTTTTCATTCTTTCTCAACCCATAGATCATCTACACTTCATTCACTCTTTTTTTCATCTCACTTCTCCTTGTTTTCTCTTATTTATTCTTTCTTTGTTTTCATTGCCTCACTTTTTAAAATTTTTTTCCCTTTCAGTCTGCTTTAGATGCCCACCATAGAGCAATCGTTATCAAACACGTCCATTTGCTTGGACTGCACGTTTGAACTTGCTGAGTAAAGCACTACAGCAGTCCGCTACCTAGCTAATTCAAACTGCGATACATTCCCATAATTCCCGTCTGTTCTCATTCTAATCGAGTTATCTCCCTGTTTGCCTTTTCGCCCGTTACCAGTCTATTGTCTGTTCTGTTTTTTTTTCCCAATTCTGTTTCATTGAATATCATTCTCAATTTCTTCTTTCTTTTTTCCTGTTATTACTCTTTCTTCTATAACATTTCTTTCTTTCTTACTCGTTTTTTGCATTGTCTTTTTTCCTAATTTCTCTTGGTTTTTTTCCTCTTTCCCTTTCGAGTCTTTTTTTAATGCCTCTCTTTTTTACTTCTTCCATGTATATATATATATATATATATATATATATATATATATATATATATATATATATATATATATATATATTCACTTTTGCTTTTACGTCCGTTTATCTTCTTCATTACTTACGCTTTCTTACTCCTTCATTCACTTTTTCATTTTTTGTTCATATTCACCCTCCACTACACACACACACACACACACACACACACACACACAGAGAGAGAGAGAGAGAGAGAGAGAGAGAGAGAGAGGCGCACACACGGACATTTTTTTCTCACATAATATTCAGGCCGGTAGATGTAAATAAATAAATATAAAAATTTAATAAATGAAAACAGAATATCAACTCAAATATGCGTATACATTTTAAAATAACGTTTAAACAAATTATATATGTATATGTGTGTGTCTGTGTGTGTCTGTGTATGCTCTGATTTTGATGGTCAAGTAATATCTTGTAAGTTTTTATTCAATTCTTCTTAAATAAAAAAAAATCCTGATCCGTCATATTCAAAGCAACATGCATAAAAGATTGCCTAATGGAATATATATATATATATATATATATATATATATATATATATATATATATATTATATTATATTAGTCAATATACATAATATCCACGTCGATAGCACGACTGGAAGTTTCATGCTAGTCGTACTATCAACGTTGGATATTATCTTTATTCAAACGTACATACATATATGTATGTATGTATGTATGTATATATATATATATATATATATGTGTGTGTGTTTGTGTGTGTGTATGTGTGTGTGTGTTTGTGTGTTTATGTATTCATTATTATATACTTAATAGCTCTGTGATATAATACTGAGCACTGTTTTTATGACACCTGAGAAAAATAAATATGTACGTGCAAGTTTATGTGCTTATACGTATGCTTTTCATCACACCCATCTCTCCTCTGTCTGTCTGTCTGTCTGTCTCTCTCTCTCTCTCTCTCTCTCTATATATATATATATATATATATATGTTTTTATTGTTCATCTCTGAGTTGACTTTTAATAGCTTTTCTCGCTTTCATTTTCGTCGTACGCTTTTTCACATGCGTTGTTCATTTTCCTCTTTTTCTCCCTCTCTTTTTCCTACTTTTCTTTCTTTCTTTCTTCTCATTTTATTTTCCTCCATCCATTACCAGTTCATCTTTCTCATTTTCTCTCCTTCAAACCATCTTCCTCTCTACAGCCTTAACGTCTTGTCATGCAACCCTCCTTACCCAATGTTACTTTTTGCTATTCGCTTTCTCCCAGTGACACTTCAAATGAGGCAATTGTACCAACCTTCAATCCTAAATCTTCCTAAGTCTTTCACCTTGAAATACTTTGCCTTTATTGAGTCCAAATCTCTCTCTCTCTCTCTCTCTCGCAAGCTCTCTCTATGTATCTTGTTTTTTCGTTAATCTCTCTATCACCCTCTCGCTGTCACTCTTTCTCCCTCGCTCCATGTATCTATAATTGTCCTTTATCTCTCTCTATCTTACTCTCTTTCGCTCTATTGTTCTATGCATCTTGGCTATTCCTTCACCTCTCTCAATCTCCCTCCCTCTCTCGCTCAATGTATATTACCTATTCCTTCATCTCTTACTTTCTCTCTCTCTCTCTCTCTCTGTCTTGTCTGTTCCTTCATTACTCTCTCTAGTTATATGTATATTGGCTATTCCTTCATCTCCCCCTCTCTCTATCTTGATTATTCCTTCATCTCTCTCTCTCTTTCTCACGCTCTCTATGTCTTGACTATTCTTCATTTCTTTCTTTCTTACTCTCTCTCTCCCTCTCTCTGTGTCTTGACTGTTCCTTCATTTTCTGTCTCTCTTTTATTCTTGACTTTTCCTTCAATTCTCTCTCTCTCTCTCTCTCTCTCTCTCTCTCTCTGTGTGTGTGTGTCTTGACTGTTCCTTCATTTTCTCTCTCTTTTATTCTTGACTATTCCTTCAATTCTCTCTCTCTCTCTGTCTTGACTATTTCGAAATCTCTCTCGCTCTATCTATCTATCTATCTATCTATCTATCTATCTATCTATATTGATTATTCCTTCATGTCCTTATCTATCTTGATTATTTCTTCATCTCCTTATCTATCTATCTATCTATCTATCTATCTATCTATCTATCTATCTATCTATCTATTTCAATTTTTTCACATGTACCCATATCGGCCTGTTTATCTATCTATCTATCTATCTATCTATCTATCTATCTATCTATCTATCTATCTATTTCAATTTGTTCACATGTACCCATATCGGCCTGTTTATCTATCTATCTATCTATCTATTTATCTATCTATCTATCTATCTATCTATCTATCTATCTATCTATCTATCTTTATTATTCCTTCATCTCCCTCTCTCTTTATCTTGACTATCCCTTCATCTCTTTCTCTCTCTCTCTTGCTCTCTCTAGCTTAACTATTCATTCATTTTTCTTTTCACCCACACTCACTCTCTGTTTTAATTATTTCTTCCCCCTCTCTTTTTACATGTATATATGTAACTTCACTATTCCTTCGTCCCTTTTTCTCACTGTTTCTGTCCACAATCTGAGCTTCTCACGCTGCGCCTCTTAGAAACTACTTACCCAACACTCACTCTTCTCTCCAGTCGACCCACCCTCAGGGAACTCATTAATTCTCCGTATGCCGCAGTCCACATTTTTCATTTCATCTCCCGGATTTCTTTGTGCTTCCCTGCTGTTTTCTTGCCCGAAAAGATCAAAATTGTGCACTGTTTACGGCCCGACACACAAATCGGAAGACACACAAGACAGAAATACACATTACGATTAAGACATACACATATATACACCAGCCCTACTGTCACAAACTTATTCACAAGCCACTGGACTAGCAATGGCGTGATGATGAGATATACAAGGGCCGTTGAAAAGTTATTGGCCTGACCCACTTTCCAAAATCCTATCAAATGACCAAATCTTCTTTGTCTGATCATTTTCAGCACCCCTCAGATATATTTCCTTCTGCCCAGAGGGACGCAGGTTCGAATCCTGCTTGAGAGCGTTACTTTTTCTTTAATTAAATTTCTCAAGCATTTAGGCGTGTAGACGAAAAAAATAAAAATACTGTTTAATAAATTTACCGGGTGTCTGCGATTATCCACTAAAATTAATTTTAAAGGGATAAAAATATTAATACAAATATTAATCAAAAATTACATCTAAAAGTATAAATTTTATTCCTGCGCATGCGTATTTAGATCAATAGATACATTACTTTTGTCAGCTAAAATCTTAAAAGGACGAAGCGCGTCATACGAAAAAAATCACTTGAACTTTGTCATTAATTTTTCTAACATTTCTATTACTTAAACGTTATTTTGGTGGATATTCGCATATTTTTTTCTCTAATGAGATTCTCTTGGACATCGACACATTTTGTAGCCGAGAGGTCAAAGCACGTCAGAAAGAAACGTAGGTTCGAATCATGCCGGAGAGCACATATTTTTCTCGAATATTCAGACCGGTAGACGAAAATATATAAATATATTGTTTAATAAATAAACGGAGCCTCTACTCAAATACGAGTATCCACTAAAAATAACGTTTAATGGTATAAAACGTGTGTCTGATGTCATAAAAGAGATGAATATTTTGGGAGATTTATCACGAGACAAGTTTTGCATAATGATACAATTTCGCACTTTCCTGACTGACTGGTTCTTTGTAGCTCAAAGGGTTTTTCAGTGATTCTTACGACAAATGATGCCAAGATGGCTAAATAGTGTCAAGATGGCTAAACATCTTATCTGAAAACCTAGAAAAAACAAACTCAATTAGCTTAGTGTTCTTTTTTTCTTAGATATTAATCATTTTGTGGGATGGACAATTTACCATGCTTTTACACAATTTTGGACAATTCGCCCGGTGTATCATTCTCATGCGGAATAATTTACATCGAAAAATAAAAGTATAGGAGATTATATTCATAACAGTAATTTATATTTTCTTGCGAACGTCAGGAGAAATATCTCGAACTCAGGTGTTAGAATTAATTTGTCATCGCTGGATTGCACTATTTGACTCAGAATCGACTATTCATTCTGTGTAATTGTTATTGGTAACGTTAGGGATACAATTAGCTCTTTAAATTATTTATAAATGTTTCCTTCCTAGCTTTTAGTTTAAGGGCGTGTGGAATGTTAATATCTTGGTTGTATCAATATGTTCCTTTCTAGTCATGCACTATCCATTTCAGTTGTTACTGACTTTGGAACTAGTAAAGATTTTTTCTTTGTGATTTCTTTAGCGCCAGAAAATAGGCAAATAAGTAAACAGATGTATGGAGGAAAGAAAGAAAAATATTTAGAAAGAGGAGCGCAAAAGAGAATTGTAAAAGAAAAGAAAAGGGATAAAAGAAGCAAAACGTGATAAAAAAAAACAGGAAAATAAACGGGATATTAAGAAAGAAGAAAAACATGGCGGTTAGTGAACAAGTTGAAAATCACAGTGATTAAAAAAATAAAAAACTTTCTGGATCAGAAAGTTTGAATGTTGAGAAATGAAAATAATTTTTTAAAAAGGAAGAACGTAGAAAGGAAAATAGAAATAAAGAAAGATGAAAAAGTAAAAATATAAAAATGAAGGAAAAAAAAGAATAATATAAAAAAATCAATTTCAAGGACAAAGGAATTAGTAGCGAAAATAAACAAAAATAAATAATAAAAAAAAACAGAAAAAAATGAAATCAAAAGTGTCCGACAAAAAGGAAAGACTAAATATTAGACAAAAATAATTTTATAAAATGAAAGAAAGACAAGTGGAATGAATGAAAGAGGGAAAAGGAAGAAAACAGAAATGCGTAAAACATTTGGAAGTGCACGAAAGAAAAAGGAAGAATAAGTAGAAAGAAAGAAAAACAGGGGAAGATATTAAAAGAGTTATATAAAAAATAAAGTAGAGAAAAACAGGATAGGAAGCAAGAAAGCAAAAAAGAAAGATGAAGAGAAAAATAAATGCAAATAGAAAAAGAAAGAAAGGATAAAGAAGATAGGGAGCAAGCAAGCAAACACACACGCAAATAAGAAAGAAAGAAAGAAAGAAAGAAAGAAAGAAAGAAAGAAAGAAAGAAAGAAAGAAAGAAAGAAAGAAAGACCTCATACTAAAGGCCATACAATGACTATAGTGATTAATGGAAGGTTATGGGTAAGAAAGAAAGAAAGAAAGAAAGAAAGAAAGAAAGAAAGAAAGAAAGAAAGAAAGAAAGAAAGACCTCATACTAAAGGCCATACAATGACTATAGTGATTAATGGAAGGTTATGGGTAAGAAAGAAAGAAAGAAAGAAAGAAAGAAAGAAAGAAAGAAAGAAAGAAAGAAAGAAAGAAAGAAAGACCTCATACTAAAGGCCATACAATGACTATAGTGATTAATGGAAGGTTATGGGTAAGAAAAGAAAGAAAGAAAGAAAGAAAGAAAGAAAGAAAGAAAGAAAGAAAGAAAGAAAGAAAGAAAAGACCTGATACTAAAAGGCCATACAATGACTATAGGGTGATTAATGGAAGGTTATGGGTAAGAAAAGAAAGAAAGAAAGAAAGAAAGAAAGAAAGAAAAAAAAAGAAAAGAAAAGAAAGAAAGAAAGACCTCATACTAAAGGCCATACAATGACTATAAAGTGATTAATGGAAGGTTATGGGAAAGAAAGAAAGAAAGAAAGAAAGAAAGAAAGAAAGAAAGAAAGAAAGAAAGAAAGAAAGAAATCGGGATTGAGAGAAAAGTGAGAGGAAACAGAAAAAGAAAGCAAGAGAAATTTAAGAACAGAATGTAAGCAATGGCAGTGAATGGACGTAAGCGTAATACAGAGAAAGTCTTTTGATCAGATTGAAACATGGATGGTCGCGAGAAAAGAAAAATGATTCTGCAGACAATAAATTAATAAATAAAAAGAGGACAAAATAATTAAACCGAAAATAAGAGAAATGTAAAATCAACATTGAAGAAAGAACCTGCGATTAATGCATTACGAAACAAACGAAGATATAAAAAGTAAAATATAGAAAAAAAAAAACTGTGAAAACACAATATTGGAAAAATAAATGGAAACGATTAAAAATAAGAACGAATAAAGTTTATTTTCATAAAACAATAAAAAAAATTACAAATACATGGGAAAAGGAAAACGATTTTTAAAACGACAGACAAAAACCATAAAATGGATGATCGATGTGTCCTTGTGGGAAACACAATCGACGCTTAAGGCAAAATGAACTCAATCGTTCATGATAGAATTATAAAAGGGCACGTGGCTTAAGAGCCCTTTTCATTCCAAAGGAAATTAAAAAGACAAAAACGACATATATATTATTTTCGTTCTCATTATATTCGGATATATATATATATATATATATATATATATATATATATATATATATATATGTGTGTGTGTGTGTGTGTGTGTGTGTGTGTGTGCCTGCCTCATCAGAACGACTACATGTTATTAAATGATG